GAAAGGGCTGAGCTACTGAATGTCTTCTTTGCCTCGGTTTTGAACAGTAAGAGCAGTTGCCCTTGGCCCCCTGAGCTGGAACACAGGATCTTCATAGAGGACACAGTCAGTGAGGATCGAGTGCTGCTCAGCAGGTTTGCAGATGAAACTGAGTGCTGCATGTGACACAAAAGCAAAAGGATGGGATGGCATCCAGAGGAAACTGGACAAACCTGAGAAGTGGGCCCAAAAAAATACCCATGTAGCGCAACAAGTCCACGTGCAAGGTGCTGCATGAACAGGGCAATCCCAGACAGAGTAGGGAGTGGGAAGTGAACTCACTGAGAGTACCCTGGGAGAAGAGGACTTGGGGGTTCTTGTGGCTGAAAACCTGAATATGAGGTAACAGTGTACTTGCAGCCCAGAAAGCCAAATGTATCCTGGGCTGCATCCAAAACAGCGTGGGCAGCAGGGCCAGGGATGGGATTGTGCCCCTCTGCTCTGCTCTGCTGAGACCCCACCTGCAGGGCTGCATCAGCTCTGGGGTCAGAGCACAGGAAGGACATGGACCTGTTGGAGAGAGTCCAGAAGAGGCCATGAAGATGATCAGAGGGATGGACTAACTCTCCTGTGAAGAAAGGCTGAGGCAGCTGTGGTTGGTCAGCCTGGAGAAGACTTTGGGGTGACCTTACAGCACTCTCCTGTACCTAAAAGGAGTCTACAGAGAAGGTGGAGAGGGACTTTTGACAAGGATACGTAGTGATAGGACAAGGGGCAATGGCTTTTGGTTGAAGGAAGGTAAGTTTAGATTAGATATTAGGAAGAAAGTCGTCACTGTGAGCATGGTGAGGCACTGGAACAGGCTGCTCAGAGAAGCTGTGGATGGCACATCCCTAGCAGTGTTCAAGGCTAGGTTCGATGGACCTCTGAGCAACCTAGTCAACTGGAAGTTGTCCTTGCCCATGGCAAGGAGGGTTGGAACTAGATGATCACAGGATCACAGAATCAGTTACACTGGAAAAGACCTCTGAGATCATTGAGTCCAACTTTCGAACAAACATCGCCTTGTGATCTAGACCGTGGCATCAAGGTTGCCATCCAGTTATTTCTTGAACACCACCAGGGATGCTGATTTTAGCACCTCCCTGAGCAGTCCATTCCAATGCTTAACAACCCTTTCCATGAAGAAATTCTTCCTGATGTCCAACCTGTACCTGAGGCTGTGTCCTCTTGTCCTGTCCCTAGAAGAGACAACCCCCACCTGGCTGCACCCTTCTTTCAGGCAGTGGCGGAGAGCAATAAAGTCACCCCCAAGCATCCTTTTCTCCAGGATGAACACCTCCAGCTCCCTCAGGCACTCCTCACTGGACTTACAAGGTCCTTTCCAACCCAAGCCACTCTATCACCTCTAAGAGAGAAGACTGGCACACATTGCTGTATGGAAAGCATAATAGAGAAAAATATTTTCTTTAATATGGGCAATGTCAAGCTAGATGGGGAGGAAGCTGTCTTGTGCCAAGCCAAACCTACTCCAACACCTTTGTTACACATGGACTTTTTAAAATCAGTGTGGTTTGTGTTTTCTGAATGGCGAAAAGAAACTGATATCTAGAGTAGATTAAATGGTTCAACATAAGGTAGTTATAAAAGATTTTGAAATAATGTTCTGTCTCAATGCTCCATTTGCTATCCTATACACAGGTGGAATTTAGACTTTCCATTTGCCTTGGTGCCTGAGATAAAAGAACCCATGCATAGCAAATATTAATTTCTCTATTGTGTTATAAAATACAATATAAAGTTTCCATTAGAGAAGTAATGTGAAGCACTTTAAAGATGTTAGAAAGACAAAATTGTGCATATGTTTAGCATTAGTCTTCCTGTAATGAATACATATATAGCTAGACGATCTTTTAGGAGCAAATCTTTTTTGTGAATTGAAGACTAGATAACCTTTCCAAAGTAATAATGTGTTAGGTCTGCTTGGAAACACAGCTGTGTTTCGTCAACTCTTTCCCTCATTTAATTCTAGCTTAGAGTGGTTGGTCTGTGCTTCACCCACAGGCAGAGAAATAAACAGCAATCTCTACTGCAGCTTTGTATCACTTTGTTACTCCTTCCAGTTATTGCTTTTAATGAATTGTTTGTTCCTGAATGGAGCAGTAAAGGTAGATGAGTAAAATAGATTGTGTCCTGAATCATGCAATGTCACTTCTATCCTTTCCTCAGTGCAATAATCAAGAAACTGTCTGACTGTGGAGGAACAATTTGTTGTTACTAGACAAACACACACAGACAAACAAAACCAAACAGAAACCAAACCCTGGGGGACTAAGTCAAGTGTCAGACAAACAAAACCAAACAGAAACCAAACCCTGGTGGACTAAGTCAAGTGTAACTGTTCTGTGAGAAAGTGTACACAACATATAAAGACAAACAAGAGAGTAAGACACCTGGACCTACCCAGTCTTCTTAAGAGATAGGGAAGAGATCATCTTCTATTTTTCCCTCTGTGGCACTCAGTGTGGTGTCCTCAGATCTCCACTAAGAAGGAAACCTGGACAAAACTATTTTGCAACAGGAAAGAAAGAACTTGTGTGTCTGGGAGATACAATAAATATGATTAAGTTTATCTGTTTAGATCACTAGAAAGATTAAACTCATATAATGATTACAGTTTTGGAAAAATACTTGTGTATAATTTATGGAAATTGTTGGAACATTAGGGAATAATTTTCCTGAAGTACATAAGCTTTATACTGATTTCTGATGCACCTCTGTTTTCCGAAGTAATAAATATTCCCAGTAAGTGAAAACATTTCATCTCATGTTACACTCTTGCATCCCGCTCTGGTTGATGTTACTCTTTGTTGTCATAGGTGATAGGGGATGCATTTTTTCTTACACCAGCAGTACATCCAGTCCAAGTTTGCTTAAACAACTTTTTAAAGCCTCCCGAATACCTACATGCTGAAAATAAAGGAAGCTCTAAAATGGTATCATCAATCTGCTTGGAATGACTACCAGACTGGGAATGAAGCCAACCACATAGCAGTGGGTGCAACCACAGAACAAAAATACTGTAGGAATGAGGCCTTTGCCATGAGATGTGTCACGAAGGAATGACTGTGGGCAGGATGGCTTGCTGATGGGGTGACAGGTCATCAGGAGCATTGTAGCTGACCCTTACTGCTGCACTTGGCCAGGTGAAAAAGGGAGTGAAACCAAGGTGTCCCTATTGTGTTGTGTTCCACCCTTGCGCAAGACCCATGGGTTTCATAATCTCTCTTTGCATCCTTCATTAACATACAAACTGGCTGCGCCCTCTCCACAGTCATGCTGGCAGTAACCATATTTGGCTGCAGTCTCACATTCACTTCTCCCATATATATAAACTGGTACTTGAAATCCTTCATGTCAGAGGATGAGAACATGAGCACCTTGCAGACAAGTCAATGGGCTTACTTCTCTCTCCTCCCCAAAGCAGGGACACCTCTTTGGCAAGATTTGATCCCCAACTGTGTCAGAGTGCAGCTGGGAACACTTGCACATAGCATTTTAGCTTTTTTTCCCTTTTTTTCATGTCTAGTGAATCTATCTCTGGAAATCAAACAAGAAGTTGTAACTTGATGCCCCAATAAACTGAACTATTGGTGAACCTGGGTTTGAAATTTCTTATTCAAGTCAACCAGACTGTGTTGAATCATTGAATTGCTACACACTATTTGTGACTCTGTGATCGCAAATGAGACCAGAGCAGATTTACGGTGTAACCCACACCATTGGTATCTCTGGGATCCCATTGAATGTGACTGGACTTAGAGTGACAAGTTGGTTCTAATCAGAAATTAAGCCCAGCTGCACCTAGCCCCTGTGTTCTGTGGGGACCACCTGGGAACCAAGGGGATTTATTTTCTGCCAGTCTTCTATAATACACAGACAGATCTCAGACTAAAAAACCAGTTTATCTGACTGACCTCTTCACCCAGACAGTATGACTTAAAGACTGTTGCCTTTTAATCACATATATATTCACAGGAGACAGTGGGGGCAACAAAACGGCAGTTTAAGACTAGCTTTCACCAAAATACAATCAAAACCAAAAAATCAAAAATATGGGCTCATATCCCAAAGTACTGTGATAGTCATAACTGCCTCTATTACATGGCATGGCAAAGCAAATGGCTGAATTGTACTTTTTGTCCTCCCTATTCATTCTCTTCTCATTTATGGTCAGAATTCAGACCTGTACTCAATTGGCATTGATATTAATTATTGCTGTTACTCATATGAGGGAAAAAGAGTATTTAATTCAAGTACCTAACTTCTTCCCATGTTAGCGTGTTTGTATTTGCAAGGCATTTATCGTGGCTAAGTGAGGTCAAGGCTTCATTTAATTAGCAGTGTTTATGTATCAAAACCCACATATTAATATACATTTTTATACACACACACACACACACACACATGCACACATTCTAATGATATGTATCTGTAATAAATAAAAGCAAGGAGAAATAAAACATTTTTCCTGAAAGAACATAGATAGAGAAAGCTTAATGGAAGCTTGGAAGTATGAATCATACAATAGGAGACAAGATGGCAGTAGTATTCAGCAGGTCCCTGACCCATCATTGAAAATACTTTACTTTATTTCAGTATGTTCTTCTACTGCTAGAATATTTAAAAAAAAAAAAAGTATTTCTGTAACTCTTTATTTTAAATTCTCATTGTGCATCCTATAGAATTTTAGTAGTAGAGAGAATAAATAATCTAACATATATATAAATATTCCAATATCCAGCTGAAATAAAAACAAAACAAAACAAAAAAAAGAGTATGAAGTCATAAAGCAGAAAATGAAAGTGTTGCAAAACCATGCGCAGGGGGGAAAACCTTAAAAACCAACAAATGATGAAAGAAAACTTCTCCTACAGAATAATTAAATGTCAAGATTTTGAAGAAATGGGAGTCTACAAATAACTTTAAAGCAACCAGCACAGCACTCAGAATTTATACACAGGGAAGAAGGAACATTAGAGCTTGTCCTTATCATGAATGCTTTTGGCCTGATACAAATTGGCCTCATGCTGTCAAGCACCACCATCATCTCCAGTCTTCAGTGCAACCACCTCCCTTTGCAGCAAAGAAAAGTGATAGAGAACAGCCTGCGACTCTTGGATAAAATGGGAAAAGAGTTTCCCCAGCAATGTCTAAGAGAGAAAATGTCCTTCAGATTTCCTACACAGGTTCTGCAACCCAGGCAGAAAGAGACTGTTGGAGTTGCTATTGAAGAGATCTTCCAACATATCTTCTATATCTTTAGCAAAAATCTGACTCTAGCTGCTTGGAATGGAACAGTACTGGATCAGTTTCAAAATGGACTTTATCTGCAAATTGAGCAATTGGAGGCATGTGTAATCGAAAAGCACACCCAACACTGTCGGAGTAAAGAAGTCAGCAGGCTGAAATTGAAAAAGTACTTCCAAAAAATAGATTGTTTTCTTAAAGATAAACAATACAACCTGTGCTCTTGGGAGATCAGCCGTGCAGAAATGAGGAGATGTCTCCAATTGATTGATAAGGTGACAAGGAAGCTTAAAAACTAAGGTACAAAGATTTTAACCTCACACAATTTATGATATTAATAATCAAATATTATAAATAACATTTATTATTTGTTCTATGATTTATCTTGTGGCAGTGCTGTTAATTTTTATTGTATTTAAATTATGCTTCTGAAATTTAATTTTGCAAAAGTAATGCATTATTCAATGTAATGTAATTTGTTTGATTGGTAAGTAAGCTGTCTACTCTAGGTATAAATTAATCTATAAGAATTTTCAGTGACGGTTACTCCCTAGGAAGATATTTCAGCCTTTGACAGATGGTGGCGTCTTATGGTGTTTTCTGCTGAGAAAACATGCAGCTACCTTCCACCTCTATCTCACCTACAAGTAGAGAATCACATATTTGTGAATGAACTACACATCCCATGCCTTACAGGAATTGCTGGATTTGTACTGATGCAGACTGCAGCGAAGATAAAGTAGTACACTGCTAATTTAAGTGATCCTGATTTAGTTTGAGAATATGCATTTTTCTTTGAGAGTTTGTATCCTCTTTTCCAAGCAAGTAACTTTTTTTACATTTGAGTAATTCTAACATTTGCTTTGTTCAAAGATATAAAGTAATTGTAGAAGTATTGCCTACATAGTACATTTTTCGCAGTAGTTATGGCTTCTGAAGTAGCTTTCCAATTGGACAGTGTTACTTTTAATTGAAATATATTGTCTCTAACTGTTTGGGGGCAGGGGTTTTATTCCTTCCTGCAGTGTTTCCAATTCACTTCAATTTTTTTCATAAGATTATTTGAAGTAACTTTTCTATGTAAAAGTACCCTAAAGCCACATCTGTCTGTGGCACATTCTACTTGCTCATGGGTATATTCATTCTGGCTACTGCAACCTCAAACATCACCACCAAGTGCTCTGCTTTATTGATGCATGAAATATGCCTCTTTCCCTTTGCTCACAAATTGAACCATATAGATGTATAGCCCTCCAATTAATTTCCCTTCCAAACAACACAGCCTTCAGTAATAATTGCAATATAATCAAATTCCTTAAAACAGTTTGCAATAAAACTGGGCCTGGATTTTACCCTTGGGAAACTGTCCCTGGATAACTCCATTTCAAACAGTGTACTTTCCCTAATCACTTGCTATAAGGGGAACAGAGGTATATCAAGTCTCTTTTCCCAAAGAATAGAATTAAAAATTTGGTAAAAACTTAAAAAAAACCCAAGCAAACATCCATCTGTGGCCATCCTGGTGTACATTTGGCACAGGCTTCTGGATCTGGCATAAAGAAGCAGAGGAGAGAGCATATCTGTGGATCCCAAAAGAGTGTTAGTCTTGGAGGGTTGAAATTGCCAGAGGTTGGTTTAAGCATCAGGTAAAGAGCAACTTTAAAGCTGTTTCTGATCTCCAGCCATTCCAAAAAGTATTGAAAGGGGATATAATAAAAAGTGTATCTAAGCAAAAACTGACTGGCGTGAACAGCAGTGATGGTGCACGGGGTCTCAGGTGTCATATCTGTGACACAGGTCTCTTTTGCAGGGTGTCCATACTCTCCTCTCTACCACTCATGGATGCAAGGTAAAGAAGAGATGGCTTCGTGAATGAAGCTGAAATACCAGAAATAAAAACAGCTAGCAACTTCACCATGATCCAGATCAAGAAAAAAGACCAAAAAACCCAGAGTAAATTATCAGAGTATTTTTGCAACCTGGTGACACCCTGCTACAAATATTATGACAAAATATGTATTTCTTTGCTTCATAACTAAAAGCACTTGAAATGGACCCACCCTGGGACTGTTTCAAATCTCATTTCTCTTGCTTGTTTGTACTTCTTCAAACCTGTACAATAAAATTAGATTCAGCCTACTAACCCTTCTGGTTCTGATATTCTTGGGTGGCTACTGCAATGCAGAAAACTGTTATTGAAATGGTCTTACTTTTACAGAAATTTGAAAATAGCAGAAAATATTTTTCAGCTCCTCTCTTGTCAGGGATTCCAGTTTTTATTGCCTAACTTGTCTGCAATAGGAATATGTTAATTTATGGTCCACTAATTGTTCAGAAACTATTGTATCATTAAGTTTCCTTTTTGATTCATAGCTGTCCTTAAAAGTCTCCTCATTAAATAAAAATCTGTTTTGGTGTATTTCAATCAACACAGTACTTTGCAGTGTGGGCAAAAACCAAAATGGGCACTAGAGGGCAAAATGAAATTAGAGACAAATGTAATTTCAAATGAATGTACATGTGTTTTGACAGGACAGTGTTCCAGGTCTTATGAGCATGCTTATCAATAAAGTGCTATTGGTCCACAGAAGGGAACTGAAAGAAAAATTAACTATTCTTGTAAAAAACCAAGATCTCAGAGGTGATGGACAGGAGCTCATAAAGAAACACTTGATTTCAATTACTTTTTGGCCAGCTGTGAGCCAACAGAAATTATTTGTATTGAGACAATATCTAGAAGACATTTAAATATAGGGATCCTGGAATAGTCATAGTCACTGAGCAAATAAAAAGGAAAAAGAAAATTGCAAGCCAATATGCCTTTGCTTTATTCTTACTTTCAAGAAAGGTAAGGATTCTTAAGTGTAAGGTAAGAAAGATGGAGATTCAGAAGATTATTTCTCTTCATCTTGCCCTTGTAACATTTTTGAGTAATACATATTTCATTGCCATTGTATTACATGGGGAGCTGTGTATTATGTCCCCAGCTTGCTGAAACCCTCTGGTATTTTTTCCAGTTAGTATTTTTCTAGAAGTCAGATGAGGCAAATACATCACATTATTTTCATATGGAAATTAATAAAACAGTAAATGTGAAGTCTCAAATCCCCATGGAAAATTTATGATCGATGAAACAAAATCCTTCCAAGAAGGGACTGATCGTAAGCCAAGAAGCTCCATAAATTTTTCCACGAAAAAGCCACAATGTTCACACACCAGTGCTGTGCAGCACAGGTCCCAGTCGCAGCTGTGGCTGTTCTCATGGCTAGTCTCACAGCACCTGTGTTGTGCTGGACTTAGCTGTATTGCACTTTTGGGGACACTAAAAATGGTAAGTTTTCATCTATGCAGAGTTAGTTCTCCAGCATAGATTTATGGGGCTGGGGTCAAAAGTCTTGTCTTCCACGTGCAATTTAAGAATAGCTACAGCAGAACTGAAGAATGCTTATCCCAGACTTTATTTTGGAAAAAATTATTCACAAAGCTCAGTCAACTATCAGCTACAGCTGTTCAGAGCACTTTGTCCATGGGTTTGGCTTGTTCCATCAGCTCTGGCTTAATTTTTAAATTGTGGAAATAAAAAAAAGCAAACCCAAACCAGAAGAAAATACCAAAACAGGACAAAAGCCTGTGGAAATAACTCTCCAAGCAATCACCCAGGATTAGCCCTTGATGCTTGTCCTTCAGAGCAGCCCTGGGGAAGTTAGAAGGGTGGCTGTGGTGGAGCAGGCAGACCCACACCAAGGCTGGGGCTGTGGGCAGGAAAAGGGATCAGGAACTGCTCATGGGAAGACAATGCCCACAGACTGCTACATCCTGCCTGTCCTCACCCCTTCCAGCCCAGTCTGCCCCTTGTTAGTGCTAGTCCTAATCTGTTTTTGCCCTCCCATTTGTGGAAGAACACTGGAACAATCCAGGGAGCAATCAGAGAGAAGACCAAGAAATTAGGGTCTTCCTAATCCTGAAAGAAAGTGTCAGTTCTCAGTTTTAACTGACAGAATGAATTTATTTTGCTTCAGAATTTTAATGCAAAGCAAAACAAAATGAACAAAGCAAGTAAGATTGCAACTGAAAATTTCTAACAAGGTGATTGCTATTTAATATTAAAAAAAATCTTCTAATCCTCATATAAGTATGAGTCATTTGTACCAAAATTTCCCACACTTCTGACATCATGATATCCTCAGGAAGGTGCAAAGGCTTTTTCAATGCTGAGAGTTCCCAGAGGAGCAATCATATGTCAGGGAATGTGAAGACAAACTTCTCAACCTTCACCCTTCCTAGTACCACAACCCAGTCTGCAAACTAGAGGGAAACTGCACTGCTGCTGTGGGGCCACCGCTCTGCAGCCACAGACTGCCAACCCCACTTGCTTCCAGACACCATTCAGGCTCGTCATTAGTTGTGTCCTGAATTAATTATATTTCTCCCTGTATGACTTCAAAATTGAAAATCCCATCCCATGTGAACTGGTAGCTCTCTGGTTTAATTTCAGTGGAGGTGAGAAAGAAGCAATGGCAAGTGATGAGCAGATGAGCATAGGGAAATTTGTGTCCTGCCTCAGCTCTCTACACAAGAGGCTGCAAGGTTAGTGCATTTTCTAGGACCAAACTTGCTGAGCCCTAGTGCTCCCAGTAAGAATCCTAAAACCATGTCACCTTCCTCAATGAGGAATTCAGTGTTCTAAGCAAATAATATCATCTGCTTTTGAACACGTAAAAGTAAACATAATTAACACTCCCTTCCAAAAAATAACTGTTAAAGCATGGAAGTGCATTTGCAAAGTCAAAATCCACACTCAGGAAATTAACTACTGAGATTTCAAATAGCATTATCTGGCACACCAGTTACCAACACATCTACTCACTGTAACTTTTACTGTCTACATTATTCCTTAAGTTTCTTATCTTGGTAGACCAGAACCTGCACAACTTCCTCTGAATTTAACTGGAGTACTGTGTGTTACAATTCCCAGAAAGGAAATATCTTGACAGACATGTTTATATAAAACAGAAAGTTTTTCTTCGACAAAGAAATAAAGCCTATTTGACTTCAACTATTTTTCAAAACGTTGCTCTCTCTTTAATCAATTAACATACTTTCTTTTAAAGTCTCTTTGGATTGAGTTATACTCTGTTCTGGTCTCCACTTTTTGGGAAAAGCTTGCATTGGCCATAACATATTTTTTCTTGAAATTATAATATTTTAATATTTTAATAATTAAAAATGAGACTGACATAGAACTCAGAGCATTGTCCTTGTGACAAGTATTAAATCCTGTCAGAGCTACTCACTTGTA